CTCGGATATAATTGAAACTTACGGATGCAGCTCTTGTTGTACTGAACGACGTCGCCGTCGCGCCTCCCGTCTTCCACAACTGAAACTTTGACATTTCCTTGGGAGTTCTTGGTGAACAGTTCGTAGCCCTCTCGACAAACACATGAAAACGACCCCGGACTATTGACACACAGATGCTTACAGCCGCCGTTCTTCAGTTCACATTCATCGATGTCTGAAAAATGCATGAATACATATTATAAAAAGTAATGAACTATTATGATGACAAAATATACGTTAAAATAAAAAATATACAATTAGATTAGTATACAAAGCATATCTTAAAATTCATTAAAATAAATTATTGAAAATTTGAAATAGGATTTAGTGAAATATGACACTCATGATGCATTTTTCTGAACATTCATGCTCTGTGATTGAGTAACTCGCAAGGAATCTGCTTTTTTTCCGAGTGACGGTAGACAAACTCACAGCCAAATGCTTCATTGCGGAAATGTCCATTGAACCGTAACAAGGACTATTGCAGTTACCTTCAGCAACGGGCTGTAGAATCCAAACGTTCTTGTCTCTTCTCTCGGATCGTCACACTGAACACTTTTCCAAAGTACGCTTAATACAGTTCGCTTTAATAAAATTATGACGCGCATTATGATTGCATGGCTAAATCTCTTACACCAGGTGTTCGATTTACGCCTGCTTGATAATCTTTTCCGCATTATTAATTTCTGACCAGTTGAAGCGACCTGTTAAGAAAACCACAGACTCAATGGCGATTCCTCACGGAAGGTAGATCTTCCTTGCAGACTTGTGTTGAACTGTCGGACATTCCACCAAGATATTGGAATTAAAAGAAACGTGTACGGTAGGGACATGTAAGTATGATATGACGTTAATCAAGTATTTCTCCTTTCAAAAGGGACGACAGATGGGTTTGGAAACTAGAGAAATATCATTATGCCGGATTTCCTTTACCCAAAGCAGCCAAGTTGCCATTTTCTTCCAATTTTCTGCAGTCACCTATCGAGTATCACTCAACAAGTCGTTCATGAGTATTCGTCATCCATTCATTTGGGTAAAACCAAACGCTAATTATACTACGCGCTCTTTCGCAACTAGTGTGAATGGTCTTCTCCAGTACTTCCCTTCAGGTCTGTACTTCGTGACATCTACTTAGGCTATCTGCTTGAAAAGCGTAATGAATTTTGTCATTCCCGTGTGTGTCTGTAAAAATGTATGCATCATGATATCAGTGGTCAACCGCTTCAGCGTTCCTCAGAGACACTCACCATCATTATGGTAGCTCCCTTCACCGTATTTCAACTTGCCATGCGACCACATACTTGACATTTTGGCCGCCTTTGCTGAAGCTGGTTTAGGGAAGAATCTCATGTCACAGGATAGGTCGATGGCAGAAATATTAAATATGGCATCGATCTGCAAGCGCCTTCGCTTACCATGAAACTTTCAGAACAAACTACAGCCCTTCAGTCAAAAACATTTAAACGAGGCAAGGTATTGAGGTAGTCTTCGTTTAATATGTGACACTAAGATAAACATGAACGTCATAAGATCATTTTCACACAAAATGAAAAACTCCATAGGAAATTTACCGATGCAGTGTGTTCGACGACAGCCGTAAAGTTCCAGTTGTATACAAGGCCTGCCTACAAATTCTTCGATATGGACCTTGAGTTGACGGGCTTCTATCGGCTCCGGGAGCGTTACTACGCTAATGTTGCTACCGTTTCGTTTGTTACCCTCGAGAACGTATTTCTGAAAATAAGTCAAATATACAGTAGTTAATATTTACTTATTTAGTTTGATGCACTTCTTCATCCTCACAAAATGACCCTAAATCCAAACTTCCAAACATCGTTGTCAGTCATGTTCCATAAATAATAGCTGTTCGCCGTGAGTGACTCGTAACAGTGAGGTTTCCCTCAGAAAATACCTGCACAACATTGCTCGATTTATTTCAAGCTGAAGTGCTAGAAGATCGTTCCACTGCCCCAAACTCATATCGAAGCTGACACTATGTCACTATATGGCCATTTACAGTTGGATGAACATAAGCTGCCGTATTTGAGATAATTACATAACTGTGTGATACGTGACGAAACTGTAAATGAGCCTTTCTTAACTCCTTTTCATAGGTGAAGCTGTCAGTAGGAATATTTCCTCAAAAAAAACAGCGACTGTTCAAAGGAAAAGTGTTCCACGTTAAAGATTCCCTGAACCGTTAATTACATTTACACGAAAACGTATTCTTTGTTGTCTACTCATGCTGAAAAAAATAGCGTAAAATACGGTTTCCTTACTCCGCGGTATCATGTCTGTCACAAATGTATAGTCAATGTAATTATTATCAACCAGAACCTTAGTCTAAATTCTAATAAAGCTTAAATGTGAACTACAGTCCAAGGCTACACCAGAACTGAACGGGAAAGTTTGTAATCGATGAAAAATCCATCTCCTTTACCGTTTCACGGTAGAGATAATGTGTTAGGCTCGTCATTAAGCCTCTGGCGTTGCCAAACTTTGTTTAAATTCGGTTAATTTAGAGGACCTTGCATGTTATCACAGTATGTATGTAGCTATCACAGTATGTAAACCCGCTCCGTTATCAGTTGTTTGCTTTGCTTTAGAACGGTGACTGGTGAAAGACGCGGGCAGGATTGGAACCCGTGTTTACTGTGGCGTAGCCATATCACACAAATTCTCAGGAACACTTTGGATTTAGGCGAAAATTTTCCTTGCCTCCAGTCATCGATCTAATTTCAAGCCATGTTTAAGCGCCAAAGCAAAACAGCACAAAGTCTACCTTGCCGGATGTATTCTGGTATTGCTTCAGTGGCTTGTTCGAATCGAAGCTGTGTTGAAGCGAAAAACGGGTGGTGAACGCTTCGTTGTTCGCCGAAAACTTTTGCACTTGGATCCTCTCGATGATGAACGGTTCGGCAAAAGTGAGTGTCAGAAAGTTTCCCTCTTCCTGTTCACCACACCATTCAACTCGGCTAAGCAGTGTCTGAGCATCGGCCACCAACTGGTTGTTGGCCGACAGACTTATCACGGCGTTGGAAGAAACGAGTGGCATCAAGTTTTCGCATTCTGAAGACGGATTGTCATCGTCCGAAGGCACAATGCCACACAAACACTTACTTAGATATGGCCGATATCCAGACTTACACCTGCACAAGTACCCGCCCTTCAAATTCTCGCACACTGTAGATGACGGATCACATGACGCCTTGTTTGCTGTACTTTGACATTCGTCGACGTCGTGACAAATCGGCAACTCGCTGAAGGTCTGATTGGCCAAACAGGAAATCATCGGATCACCGATGATCTCGAAACCGGCCCGGCAAATGACTTCCGCGTTGTCACCGTAAAAGTATTGAGTCCGGCTGTTCTGAACGATACCATTTGCTACCTCTAGCAGTTGAAAGCATCCCAGCTCTGAAATCAGTTTCATGAAATATACGTCTGCTGTACGTTATGACAAAACACTACTTTTACAAACGGGCTGCACGTCTGACCATTGGCCATTTGCATCGCAGAACAAGCGCTTCATGCCTTGAAGTTTGTATCCATGTTCGCAGCTGAATTCGTATACCGTTCCGTAGTTGCTACCGTTGCCAAACAAGAGCGTACTGTTGCCGTTTGCGAGTGGCTGCAATGGGGGACAAGATTGTACTAAAATAATCCCTGGTATCTCGGCCAAATATGTTAAAAGGTTTACTGTGACATTCTGGAAATGCTGTCCAGTGACCACTGCCATCGCAGGAAACCTCCTCAGTTGCATTGCCGGTTGAAAAACTATAGCCACGGAAACATCGGTATGTGATCACACTTCCGTACGTGTTATTGGAGTCGTCCAGCAGAATGCCGTTTCGCAACTGATGGGGCGAAGGACAGTATTTCGCTGAAAACCAGAGTATAACACACTGTCAGCGGAGAACGACGGATTTACGCTGGCATGACGGAATCTCTTTGAGACTCCAGAACCCTCCGGATAAGCAAGTGACCTTGATTATTGAACCGACTCCAGACTGAAATTCATAACCGTATGAACATGAGAGAGTAATTTCAGTTCCAAAAGAGGTATTTTTTGAGGATTTCAACACATCGTCAGACGCTTCGATTTCAGGGCAGTCTAAAAGATGAGCTAGGATTAAAATTAAATACCAGTATATACCAGCAGCTGATGGTTAGTCGTTTTAAGAAAATGTTAGACGAAATCAACTATCATTACCTGGTTTAGTTTAATGTGAATATTTTCGAAGCCTTTCTTTTATTGATGGCAGATGAGTAAGATAACTATGAAGAGGATTTTATCGTGTATGGCGCAACAACGTTACTTTTCATCATATTTCTGTGCATACATTTAAATTCTGTGAATTTATGTGGCTTAATTGCACAAACTTCTTACATCTAGAGACCTACTCGACCATTCAATCAGGTCAGCTAGTACTGTAGTATTTTCAGTGCATAAATGCAAAGTCGCATCACTGCGTTAAGTCGAATAACATATTCAACGCACTAGCCAGAAATAATTTTTATGCACTGAAACTTTTCTCTCCTGGGAATCAAGCTTTGGCCGCAGATGCGTAGGAGGACTTTTTTGAGGACCTGTTTGAGGAGAGGAATATGATCTTACAGTGAATGATGCCTAAGGTCCATCTGGAGTACAGTTTTTAACGGGCAGACAAAAATCTTGCTTACTCGGTCGTTAACTGCCTGTAAACCTAGGAAAACGACGACAGAGCAGCTATTATCAGATACAGAGCGACTATGGTTAGTAACGTCTTTGGTCTGTCAAAACATTAGTTTTTCGATGCTGCCCGTTAAACTAGCATATATAACATAACACTTTTGCGTATTTACTTTTAGTCGTGACATCACAGCACTGCAATGGCCATAATACCATAGAGATGTGGCCTGATCAAAACTTCCTAGCGCTGATGAAACCAGAATTCGACGCGACTTGCCATGCAAATTCAGAGAAGTGACACATATACGTTAATTTAAAGTGCAGTGATAAAAACTTTGCTACGAAGCCCAGTTTTGAACAGGATGACATCCGCATAATTATATATTCTGACTGAAATGGTCAAATATTGTTATTAAACGGACTGGATTAAATTTTATACTAAATCTAAATTAGATTAGAGTAAGTTCATTCGCTTGGACAGCACAATTGTTATCTGCACAAAGTGCCACTTTCAGCCAATGAGTATAATGGCAACAAATTGTATAAAATAAAAGCTTTCATAAATAATATTTCAGGCTTTCGATTCTACAGATAGTTCTATTAAGTTTCTATTCTTAAATAGAAGACGTAAAGCTTTCTCTGAACTCAAAGCTTTATACAATCATTTGTTTCTGCTTTCCAAAAACTACCAGCAAAATTAGTACATTGCTGGCATTTGTAGAAAATCTTGCACATCCTGTAGTGCTAAGGAAGAAGCTGTCTAATACAAAATCTGAACTTGAAATTTCTTTGTAAGAGCCTCATAACTCGCTGGAACTCTGAAATAAAACTCAATTGGTTCATATCTTTGAGAAGGTTGATGCCACTGGCTTTTCTCGCTTTGCCCAGCACTGCCACCTTTCATCACTTGTTTGTACGGAAACAACGGCACTGTCAGAAGAGAGCATTCTCTTTCTGGAAGTTGATTGGCCCACTGATATGCACGACTAAGCAGAAGCAATCCGTACATTAAATCTTTGGTTTTCCTACAGATTCACCAGTGCTGTAGTATGGAACGTCAACGTATTAGTACTGCCGGGTCTGCTTGCCATGCGGCAGTCTATTTGTGAAGCAAAATGCATCCAGTGCAGACAAGAATGACGTCATTGAAATTATGAAGTTTCTCATAAGTTCAGAAATCAAAAGTTGTCGATTTACCTACGGAGTACGTCATGTTCCACCGTGAAGAAGAAACATGAGATCCCGTGTGGTAAACGACGTGAAATGCACCAACTTCGGAATGCAGCAGTTCTGGCGGCAAACTAGAGTTGGCGTATCCATCATAAGCGTAAAGCAGCATTCCCTGAGCATCGTTTCCAGCATAAACCTCCAAGGCAACAAATTAGAAGTTGGCAGAGGGCTGCACCACTACAGACCTTTAATGAAATTCCGTTCGAAACGTCAAACTCTGTGATTCGGGCTGAGATTGGCGGCTTCTTGCGAGCGATGCTCGATGGCTCAATGGTGTAGGTGCACGTCAACGGCTCCTGCTCGCCAATGCCATCAGCTGTAGGTGGGGTTATGCTGCCGTAGTTCTGCTTAATCACGTTATCACAGCCTAAAATCGAACATTTCATTTAAAATATCAAAATGATATACTTAATAAGAGGTAAGTTATTACTGTAAAAGATAAGCGTACTGTTTGAAAGACAAACACCAGGAAGATTAGGTTATGACATTTCTCTTTAGACATTTACATTCAGACTGGCCTTATGAAAGCATGGAATGGAAAATATACAACAGACATGAAACAAAAGTGATAGATGGAATTGCTTCGAGCAGAATGAGCGAAATAAGATCCCTCGTGGAACTGTTTCTGCTCTAAAGAAAGTCAACCTCGGCTTCACCATTTGAAATAACGTGGTATATATTCAACAGGCTGCTAGGTACTCATAAAGGACTACAATGAGTCCTGAACATGCTTCTACCAAGTCAGCCAGAGGAATGACATATCGCCAGATTGAAACTGAAAATATCGTTGATTATGTAGAGGCTCTGTCTGAGCAGGATGAAAACTGAATACTAACAATTCGATAATTCATCACCGAAAATCATGGAAGGTTTTGCTGTAGAAACTAAAAACCAATCCGCCTGGAAAAACGCTGGTTACTGCGAATGCAACTGATCAAGCGGTAGGTGGATATCATAAGCCATCACGTTTTTGCGGTAGCCAACGTGTGCACTTGTTACAGGTGCTTAGACGGCGAAGACATGTATGATTTGACCAGTCTGTATAATATCCTCATTAGCTCGTCAGTTGCCTATGCTTGGACCGGATATAGCCTACGACGAGTAAGTGGCCAGCACATCACATGGATGCAATGAAGCAGGGGGAATTCGTTAGGTTCTGCTCTTTGGAGGTGAGGGCTACAATCTTAAGGTAGAACTTTCTTAACTACTAATTTTTTTGAGCAATGAGTTCACCTCAACTTAGTTTTTTAGATCACCTAAGAAATGGGTAACCGATAAAAAGTCAGTGACTTATGAGAAACGGACAGCATGATGATTTTGGTGGGTCACATCACAATTCGCTGGGCTAATGGCCAAACTATCAGATTCACATACTTTGCAACTTATGCTCACCTCAATCCACCTGATCGCTGACTAATAAAAAACACCGAAAATAAAGCAAGTCCTAGTTTCAAAAAGCAAATTGTTTTTAAAACATGAATTGATTTGTAGAATAAATTAAATTACCTCAACTTTATGAATTTAGTACAAAATTTTAAGTTTTCGATAACGCGGCAAGTGTAACAGTTTCTGTCACTTCTTCGGATTCACCCGGCGCAGTCTCACCGTCACCTTGCTTCTATTAGTCTAGCGGGTGAATTGAATGTTTTAAATGATTATGCATAAACATAATCACAAAAGGACACTGAACTATCCTGCAGTCTGCTGTTGCATTACCATGTTTTTCGTATCATTTCACGCTGATAATCGTTGCATGCATAATGCGGTTCTTGGCAATGAATTGAATATGGTCCGAAACGTTCAGCAAATCGCCCATATCTTAACTATACAAAGTAAACCCGTTTGTGAAATTTGGAAAATGTGAACCTAACAGACATCACGCACTGTAATCTGTTAAATAGCTGAACATGATTTTGACAAACAACGAGACTCTGGAGGGAAGAGGGTGAAATAACATCAATCGTAAAATATTACAGGAATGCAGAAGATGATAAATAAAATGGAACTGGTGCGAAGGTGAATACAGTCAAGTTGAATGCAACATTTGCGTTTGAGCATCTTTCTCCAATAAGCACTGCTCATTTAATATATTTGGCGAATTCATAAAATTTTTAGACTTAAAGTACGACCTCAGGTTTGATTGTTTTAGACTGTTTTACCCAATACCATAATCACTCCGCGAAAGCGCACTTCTACTTTGCTTCTAGTCCGTCTCAGCCAGTCGCAAGACCAGACCTCTGAGTTAAGACGACCATGGTCACAAGACGACCGTTGGAGACAAACATATGTAGAAAACAATTTAAATGTTCTGGTGATAGCTGGTGAGTGTGTGTGCTACCTGAATAGCACTTTTCTAATTCCGCCAGCGAATATTACATGTCAATCTTAATAACGAATTCACTCGGCGGAAGGGCGCCACCACCTTCCGCTTACTTAGGAACAACGCAAAAAATTTAAATGGCTTTGGGGGGTTGAGCATAGAATCAACAGTCATGATAGCTCCATTCGGTTTCAGCATATCGAAGCGAAATGAAAAGATTACCGTTTAAACACCATTATCAAAGAACTTTGATTTCTTGCCTGTTAAAAAATAAAACATAGGAGCAAACTTATTAACAAATAAATAAAAGTACGTTGTTCAACGTCATGCACGAAACTGGAATGTCCATCCAAAAGGATATCAGTCTGGTAAGATATTAGGAGCCAAAGAGTCTGTAGCATTTAAATTCTAGTTCCCGGAAGATTCAAAGTACCTTGTTTGTACAGGAGGGAAAATCCTCTTCCAGGTCCGGCATCGTCGGCATAGAAAAATACTGATATCTCACTCGTAGTCGACACGAGCAGTAGTGGCTGGCCAAAGCCAGTGGCTGAGTACAGAACCGAGGTTGAGAACAGTCCGCCGTCGTATATGATCAATGTATCGTCATCTCCAAGGGAAACATCTCGAATCTACATGAAGTCTTTCACATACAAATTCCATACTTTATTAGCTCTACCACACCTCAATCGATATCACACGTCCAAGAGGAGAACTGATGGTCCAAAAACACTCCGTTCCATCGGAGTAATTCTGAGGATATCCAGGAGAGTTCAGAACTTGACTAGAAGACTGGGCGATTAACCTCCCACCGCAGTAGATGGTTACTAAAAATAAAGCACAGTATTCAACATTTGATAACTTAAATCTCAAGATAAGTACTGGCTTTCCACGTGGCGTGAAAGCCTCGATTCTCGATTGACTTGTCGGATGTGAACTTTATCAAAACCATATTGGTGGACGAAGTGAAGGTCAAATCAGAAGCGGGAGGATAGCCAGAAAAATATTTCAGAACAGAGCTCGCGTTTTCAGAAGGACCACCGTCGATTACAACGACAGTATCGAAGTACTTCTCCGTTTCGAACAGGTCGAACTAAAAGGTGAGTAGTCGTAGCTGCAGACCTTTTTGCAGTACATTAAAGAAACCTGTAATAATATTCGGCTGTCGGGCGGGCCTTCGATAATCCACCTGCTGTCTGATAATGGTGGGTAGTTCATCGGATACCCTGGAGACTGTATCTTGCCTGATTCTCCTTTGTAATAATATGCGCGGACGGCATTTCTTTTTATACCTAAAATTCTGTACTTGGCAAATTCGGCATTCATTCATGGCCTCTTACCAGCGCAGTTCGCCTCGTCACTGAAATCGCTGCAGTCTGCATGACCGTCACATCTCGCGCTGCTGCTGACGCACTTTCCATTCAGGCAAAAGTGCTCATCTAAAATGTACAGTATTGAAATAGAATTATACCGTAAACTCAACGAGTGGAGCGTTTGCCAATCGAAATGCAACAATAGATGACTTACTAGATTTAAGTGTTTTTAACTTGCCTGCTATATACTCTACCTGAGGCGAGCAACCGCCAAATAACGATCACGTGCAGGGCAATGAAAAAATGATCGCTTTTGGAGGTCAAGACGCTTTGTAAACTCTGAAGCGGTCGGTTGTCAAGACCACTGCAACAAAAGTCGATAGATATGGCCATGATGGATATGAAAAAACCATAATAAAATCATTAGTTCGTGACATCTCCTTTCTGAACGGGCAGAACAATGACTCATCGTTAAGAGATCGAATATTCGGATGGGATTTTGTGGATGATTTCAGGAAAAGATGAATAGTCAACGTATTTTCCACAACTTGAGTGTTTGCGGAAAGGGAATTAATCACGTTGTCGAAACTTTCATATCATGTTGCCGCTCCTTGAAAGAAATCTATGATTTGCATGTCCCCATACCGCTATAGAATGCAATACACGAATTCAATT